TAATATATTTTAAAAAAAGTATTTAATATATTTTAAAAAAAGTATTTAATATATTTTAAAAAAAGTATTTAATATATTTTAAAAAAAGTATTTAATATATTTTAAAAAAAGTATTTAATATATTTTAAAAAAAGTATTTACAGCCATTTCCTTTTATCTTTTCTCCCACCCTTTCGGCATGCATTCTGGGAGAGCCACACCTCTCCTTATTTGCTTCCATGTATTATTATTAATTAAAATTAAAATATTAAAAAATTAAATTTATAAAGAAAATAGACAGAGAGATATATATATTAAATTATAAACTTTGAATTTTATGAAATTGTATGTTACATTTATATGTATATGTGTTAAAATTATATAAAAAGGAAATTGCATCCGTGTTCCTCCATGTTAAGAGAAGCTTTTGGAGCGGTTGTTCAGAAAAAGGTGCAATCTTCCAAAATATTGGTAAACTACAAAAAAGGCTCGCAAGTTCCAAATTCAGACGTAATGATTTCAGGAGGAGCTCTGTAATTCATGGCGTGCTGTGGGGGCACTACTGTTTGTTTTCCTTAAACTTCTTCTTCTTCTTCAACTTTTAAACCCCTTCTTTTCCTTTTTTCTATCTGGAGGGAGCATCGTTTCCAGTTCTCTGGTTTCCCAGCGAAGAGAAATCCCCAAATTTTCCAGTTTTTTTTTCTTTTTTTGTGTTCAATCTGAGGAAAAACGATGTGTGGAGGTGCTATCATTTCTGATTTTATACCGCCGACTCGGTCTGATCGGGTCACAGCCGATCACCTATGGCCGGATTTGAAGAAACCTAAATCAGGGAAACATTCGTCAGTAAAAAAGTCCCTCAGGTCGCAGATCTTCGATGTTGATGATTTTGAGGCTGATTTCCAGGACTTCAAGGACGATTCTGACGCTGATTTTGATGAAGATCACTTCTCGGATGTTAAACCGTTCCTTTTCTCTGCTCCTAACTCCGCCTGCTCTTCCACTCGCGGTAATGGCATGTTTACGGTTTCTTTTTAATAATTTCCCTTGTGGTCGTTCTTGTCTTTGAAGTTTGGGGACAATCCTTTTGAATGTTTAGTAAATTTCATGAATATATGGGTCGACTCTCTCGCTTACTTATTTTTTGATGCGGTAGAGATTTTTTTTTTAATGATTCTTCACTGCATGAGAATAAATCATCACCTACCACGAATTTTTGTAATCTTCGGGTGATTATTGTGTTTCCTTTTCGATTTTCTGCAATAATTGAACTGTTTTCTGCTTTGCATGAACACTCTAAATGTTTGATCGTTTCCTTCATGCAATCGGGAGATTTGAGTGATCTGATTGTAAAAATTAAGAACATTTTTTCAAGTGCGAAGAAGTTTAAGTTTTCTTATCTGTAGCAATCACCTTTAAATCAATTTCGAAGCATGTTCTGCAATTGCCTTTCCTTCTTGCGGAAAGTAAGAAATGTGTGTAGGTTTCTTCCTTTTGATTTTTTTTGTATTAATTTTTAGAAGTAGCTTTGTTCTTTTATTTTGGCTTTGATTTATGGATGTTAGAAATATTCCCACTTGAGAAGCATGTTGGTGTTGTAATCATGCATAATTAACTACAAGGCTTTGATACATTACTTGATCGAACTATTTAGGCTTCTGCTTGGTATTGATTTCATTGTTATCTAACTATTGAAGGATCAAGCGCCACAAAACTTGTGGAGTTCAATGGACAAACTGACGAGTCTGGAAGTACTAAGAGGAAGAATAAATTTAGGGGAATAAGGCAACGCCCATGGGGTAAGTGGGCTGCTGAGATCCGAGACCCAACGAAAGGGGCCCGTGTATGGATTGGTACTTTCAACACTGCAGAAGAAGCTGCAAGAGCATATGATGCAGAGGCGCTGAGAATTCGAGGCAAGAAAGCCAAGTTGAATTTCCCTGATGAACCTTTGCATGATACCCAGAAGCGGAAAAACTCACAGAATGTGAAACATCTCAATATGAACTTGAAAGCAAACCAGGCCAGCACAAATCAACACCTTAAGTTTTCTAATCATCCAGATCAGAACTACTACAGAACCACTGGTTTTCTGGAAGCAAAACCTCCTACTGACCAACTTGGATACATGGACTCATTCCCTGCTGGTATGGATAGTACTCCATCTGACGAAATGCTCCTATATTTTAACTCCGATGAGGGAAGCAACTCGATTGGCGGTTCTGATTTTGGATGGAGAGATCAAGGTGTCAAGACTCCAGAAATCTCTTCCGTCTTCTCAGCTACTTTTGAAAGTATCGACTCTCAGTTTACAGAGGACATGAATCCAAGGAAGAAACTGAGGTGTAGTTCAGGGGATACCATAACTGCTGAAGAAGTAGGTGCTAAGACACTGTCAGAGGAGCTTTCTTCCTTCGAGTCCCAGATGAAGTGTTTTCAGATGCCGTATCTGGAAGGGGACTGGGATGATTCAATAGATGCCTTCCTTGGAGGGGTTGCGACTCAAGATGGTGGAAACCCAGTGGACCTTTGGAGTTTTAATGACCTCCCTTCTGTGGTTGGAGGAATCTTTTAAGCGAAGTTTTCCTTTGCCGGCTGGTTCATTTAAATAAAGCTACATGTTAGTCATTTCGATTCTTCAATCATATCTAAGTCAGTTTCATGGTCCTCTCTACTGGATCTTCTATAATCCCTTCCCAGTTCACTTATATTGTCTAAAATTTGTTGGTGTGATGTTGTTGCTGTGTGCAGGAAGTGGATGTCATCGATGATTGGGACGAAGTTCAAATGGTCAATTGTGTTCGAGGCAATTAAGGTCATGTTTATGCTGTAGCTAATGGACTAGGATTATCTAGTTTATTCAGGTAGCAATACCTGAAAACCTTGAACTGGCGATAGCCTGTCGAGTTAAGTCTGTATGAACAATATCTATCGAGTTAAGTCTGTATGAACAATATGTTTATCTGTATTTATGTAGCATAAAACATGGTAGATGTCTTTGCCATTGAGGATTTTTACATCATGGAATGTCTAGATTCTGACTTGTATGAATTAAAGTCATCGCTAATTTTTCTCTTTTCCAAGCCGTTCTTTTTAGGAAGAACATGAACATAGTTTGAGTTCTTTTTTGACCATTTTTGTTGCACTAATATTGAAAATGTGCCGTGTCCATTAATAAATTTAATTGACTTCGGCGGGGTTGGAGTTTTGGTCAATACTCCATAACATATAAGATAAGATAGCCTAAGCATAGGCCATTTATGGTGTTCCTGTAGGCGCCTGCCCACACCGCAATGGATTTAGTGCTAAAAGCATTGAGCTGAAACTACTGTCTGCTGTAATTTTTTAGTCTCTAATCTTGTAGCCTTTAGCCCATCACTGTCTTATATTATTTTGAAGCTTAGATTATTATAACCTTGCATGGGATCCAACCGCATTCAATTATGAACTCAAAGGTCGGGTTTCGCTGTGTGGAAAGATCAAATTGGGGAATAGTTGATGATCTTAGTTGAAGTGTGATTGCTTGTTGGTAAAGTTGAGATGTCATATTCAACTTTTAGAAGTACTAAGTTTTTTTTTTTTTTTTTTTTTTTTTTTTTTTTTTTTTTTTTTTTTTTTTT